CGAAAGCATGTATTAGAAGGCTTAATACTATGTGTTCCAGATTTTTGTGGAAAGGATCGCCTGATGTTGCAGGGGGTGCTAAATTGAGCTGGTCCAAGGTCACCACTCCTAAGCAGCAAGGAGGACTTGGGCTCCGAGATTTGCTATCATGGAATGGGATCAGTCTCCTGAAACTTATCTGGTCCCTTTTCTTTCGTAGTGGTTCGTTATGGGTTGCTTGGATAAACACGAAGTATCTAGGTCGAGGTAGTTTCCGGAGTATCAAGCCTAACGCTAGTCACTCATGGTGCTTTAGGAAACTTCTAAAAGAACGGGGAACCGCTCGAATGTTTATCTCTAAGGCTGTTGGGGATGGAAAAAATACATGGTTTTGGTATGATAATTGGACTCCTCTAGGCCCTTTGATTGAGTATCTTGGTGTTTAAGGTCCTAGAGTGATGGGCATACCCCTTCATGCCAAGGTAGGGGACCTTTTCCAGGCTGGTGCATGGTCCCTTCCCCCGGCACGATCTGACCGAGCCCTCTCTCTAAGTGTTCATCTCTCCGGTTTGAATCTCTCCGATAGAGAAGATGCTAATGTCTGGTCCATCAGGGACAAAGCCTCAAACTCCTTCGTGACTAAACAGGTCAGATCGATTATTTCTCCTACTATTCCCTTAGTGGAATGGCACAAGATTGTTTGGTACAGATTTTACACCCCTAAGCATGCTTTCATCACCTGGCTCTTTGCCCTTGACCGATGTCCTACGAGGGAGCGGATGTCAAGTTGGGGGATCTCTACCCCTCTGAACTGCCTATTCTGCGATCATTCATCTGAGAATAGATCTCATCTACTTTTTCAATGCCATATAACGCAGACCTTATTCCGACAGATCATGTCGAAATGGGGCCTTCTCCCCGCCAACACCTCTTGGGAAGATATCATAACATGGCTACTGCGGAATTGGTCTTGCAAGGTACGACACTTGGGTGCATGTATTACTTGGCAACTCCTTATTTACACTATTTGGATGGAAAGAAACGCTAGGATTCATAGGGCTACTTTCAATGACTCATCTGTAATCCGGAAGGAGATAGATCGAGCTTTTAGAAATAAAGCGGCTGCGGTACGATTATCCGACCAAGCATTGGCGAGCTCTCTATTGCAACTGTGGTTCTCTTCTCCTTGACTTGGAATTTATGATATGCTTATCAGTTTCGTTGGGTCTTAATAACCATGTTTTTTTTTCTATGATTCATTTTGGGATTTAGCCTCCAATACGCCTACTTTACATACTCTTTATGTATAAGGTTTTTTGTTTAATTTAATACATATACAACCTTTAACAAAAAAAACAATAAAATCCTCACGGACAACAAAATGAGGAAAATTAAAAGATACCTTTCTTTCTCTTGCGACTGAAAGATGAACCAGTGACAGCGTGGTCAGGAGACTGAGGAAGCCTGGTCCGACCCGGACCAGAAATTGGTCCGGCGGACCAGGTCAGTTTTGTACCAAAAACTCGTCCGATCGACCGTTTTCGCGGGACGAACCGGATCCGGTCCGCCGGAACCAAATCCCGGTCTGTACCAGACCAAACCTAAGAGGAAAGAGAAGATAAAAATGAACAAATTGAATGAATGCACGTGGTGGCTCTGGTCCGGGACTGACCAAGCTCGGAGGAAAGAGAAAAATTTCGGTTTCGACCGGGAAAGAGGAAACGACCAACGGGGTTGGCCCGGGCCCGACCAGACTTGACCGTGGGCGAACCAAGCTCCAACCCAAGGAGAAAACTTCGTGATTGGGATCCATCGAACCGATCCTTCGCCAAGACATTGCGTAGCGTAGTGAGGAGTGCGATATTGAGATACGAGTGACCGTTGCGTGATTGTTTGCGGGTAGAATTGCATGGCGTTGAATGGTAGCTCGGTTGGGACCGGATGCCGTGATGCGTATCATTGTACTATAGGGATATGTGCACGTTGTTTGCCATGTGTGTAGCTTGCTCGTGCGTACGAGCCAAGCATGATTGTGTTTGTGGAGGGTTGTGGACTCAACCATCACCGTCATGGACTTGACGGGTAATTGAGACGTGTTTTAGTCGTGTGCGGGAAATACAAGTCCCGTAATTTTAGAGTTCAAATCCCGTACATGATGCTGCTTCTCTCAAGTCGTCGTCGTCCGGGGCGCTAGGCGTAATCCTCGTGATCTGAAAAATATGAACCACGAGGGCTAAGCACAACTGCTTAGTGAGTAGCCCGGGTTGAACCCGGTCATCCCGTTCTCAGCGAGAACGGTGATAAAACAATGGTATACAAGAAACAAGCAAGTAATAATAACACGTATTTATATCACATCAATCATAATCACACTCGTATGGAGTCCACCATAGGGTTTAGCCATATACCCTAGTCAAGTCCATTGGGCGAACCAAGCTCCAACCCAAGGAGAAAACTTCGTGATTGGGATCCATCGAACCGATCCTTCGCCAAGACATTGCGTAGCGTAGTGAGGAGTGCGATATTGAGATACGAGTGACCGTTGCGTGATTGTTTGCGGGTAGAATTGCATGGCGTTGAATGGTAGCTCGGTTGGGACCGGATGCCGTGATGCGTATCATTGTACTATAGGGATATGTGCTTTCCAAGAGATTGAGTATGTCCGACTGTCTGCCTTTAGTCGAGCGTATCAGATCTCGTTTTTCCTCTTGGACTGTTAGAAGCCTCTCTTTTGCTCGCAGGCTAAGACTACTTGACTCGGTTATTGCTGGAATTGTTGGATATTGGATGCAAGTCTTTGTTTTACCGAAAGCATGTATTAGAAGGCTTAATACTATGTGTTCCAGATTTTTGTGGAAAGGATCGCCTGATGTTGCAGGGGGTGCTAAATTGAGCTGGTCCAAGGTCACCACTCCTAAGCAGCAAGGAGGACTTGGGCTCCGAGATTTGCTATCATGGAATGGGATCAGTCTCCTGAAACTTATCTGGTCCCTTTTCTTTCGTAGTGGTTCGTTATGGGTTGCTTGGATAAACACGAAGTATCTAGGTCGAGGTAGTTTCCGGAGTATCAAGCCTAACGCTAGTCACTCATGGTGCTTTAGGAAACTTCTAAAAGAACGGGGAACCGCTCGAATGTTTATCTCTAAGGCTGTTGGGGATGGAAAAAATACATGGTTTTGGTATGATAATTGGACTCCTCTAGGCCCTTTGATTGAGTATCTTGGTGTTTAAGGTCCTAGAGTGATGGGCATACCCCTTCATGCCAAGGTAGGGGACCTTTTCCAGGCTGGTGCATGGTCCCTTCCCCCGGCACGATCTGACCGAGCCCTCTCTCTAAGTGTTCATCTCTCCGGTTTGAATCTCTCCGATAGAGAAGATGCTAATGTCTGGTCCATCAGGGACAAAGCCTCAAACTCCTTCGTGACTAAACAGGTCAGATCGATTATTTCTCCTACTATTCCCTTAGTGGAATGGCACAAGATTGTTTGGTACAGATTTTACACCCCTAAGCATGCTTTCATCACCTGGCTCTTTGCCCTTGACCGATGTCCTACGAGGGAGCGGATGTCAAGTTGGGGGATCTCTACCCCTCTGAACTGCCTATTCTGCGATCATTCATCTGAGAATAGATCTCATCTACTTTTTCAATGCCATATAACGCAGACCTTATTCCGACAGATCATGTCGAAATGGGGCCTTCTCCCCGCCAACACCTCTTGGGAAGATATCATAACATGGCTACTGCGGAATTGGTCTTGCAAGGTACGACACTTGGGTGCATGTATTACTTGGCAACTCCTTATTTACACTATTTGGATGGAAAGAAACGCTAGGATTCATAGGGCTACTTTCAATGACTCATCTGTAATCCGGAAGGAGATAGATCGAGCTTTTAGAAATAAAGCGGCTGCGGTACGATTATCCGACCAAGCATTGGCGAGCTCTCTATTGCAACTGTGGTTCTCTTCTCCTTGACTTGGAATTTCTGATCTGCTTATCAGTTTCGTTGGGTCTTAATAACCATGTTTTTTTTTCTATGATTCATTTTGGGATTTAGCCTCCAATACGCCTACTTTACATACTCTTTATGTATAAGGTTTTTTGTTTAATTTAATACATATACAACCTTTAACAAAAAAAACAATAAAATCCTCACGGACAACAAAATGAGGAAAATTAAAAGATACCTTTCTTTCTCTTGCGACTGAAAGATGAACCAGTGACAGCGTGGTCAGGAGTAACTCCTGGAGAATCCAGATTGTTAGACATGACCCCGCTATGCCCACACGGTATCGGTGAGGTGAACACCGAAGAGCTAAACCCCTCGGTTATGTGCATTTTTTTAAATGTATTAAAGAGAATAAACGAAGTTATAATATATTAAAATTTTAAAATTAGTTCCATCTAATTATTAGATATATGAACATCTCTATATCAATGTATATATATAAAAAAAATCAATTAATTATTAAATTAATGTATGAATGATAGATTAAAATTAAATTGATAAAAATAAATTATTATTGGATACATACACAAACAACCGCTGAACAATATACACATAAAAATAAGATTCGAATCGAATCTGATGAAACCAAAATAAAAGATTAAAACTATATTACAACACTGATGACCAACGCACCTTTGATCCAGTTCAAAGTTAACTAATCCGAATTAAACACAACCCGAACAAAATTAACTAACCTTAAGTAGTTCAACTCCATTCAATTAAATCTTTTTGAACCAGAAAAGAACTAAACTGTAAACATGTGAAAGAGAGAAATAAGTTAATCAAAATATAACTAAAAAAAATCACAAAAAGCAAGAATATTGTACAACGTAAAAGGAAATTTCGCTAACCTGGTATGACCACCAACGACGGGCTTTAGATCAGGACAAAGCTTGGAGAGCGACAACGGTGAATCCACCGAGCCGACGAGTTCCACCCACAAGAGCCAGAACCAAGACTCTAGATTCCGAATGGCCATTGTAACAACCCAGTTTTTTTTTTTTAAAAAAAGATGCACTGCCAATTCAGATACTTGATATGGATTTGGATCCTGATGATCAAGATATTTATGAGCTAAAAGGTAATTCAGCATCTCTCACATTTGGATTGTTTTTGTCTTTTATGTGTTCTACTCAATTATGTGGCACAATTATGCATATTCGCAAGTGAGCATGAGGGGGGACCTGCGAAATACTTTTCAGGCCGCAATTTCTGTGACATTGTTTCGTGGAAATATAGGTTTTCCTTGAATGGTGTTCACAAACATTGTTTGATGTTCGAAAACTGATCTGTTTAGTTCATAAAGTAAATGACTGACTGCATTTTCAATTGCAGTCTCCAAGTATCAGAATGAGGACACCAGAAGAGCAATTATAAGACTTGAACAGGCTGCTTACTCATACATGCAAAGAGACATCGCTTCACATGGCGCTTTTGCTATTTTGTATGGTAGACGTTCAAAACATTACATCAAGAAACCTGAGGTATTTCAATTTATAGCGATTTGGAACATCTTTCATTCCTGCTATTATCGTTTATGATCACACCTGTGAGGAACGAACGAAAATTACGTTTTGAGCATTGTTCTTCTGTGATCTTGTACTACATAGATTCTGCTTGGTAGATCAACAGAAGACCTCATCGTGGACATTGATTTGGGAAGAGAAAAGGGTGGTAGCAAAATATCTCGTAGGCAGGTCAGATTAGAGGCTGCTTTTATTTATTCGTTTTGTAGGTTAAGTTTTATGAGAACTATCCCTAAATCCTTAGCAAACCTCGTGGTTTCGCAGGCCATCGTACGTTTGGAAGATGATGGTTCTTTCCGTATGAAAAATCTTGGGAAGTATCCTATTTCGGTAAATGAGAAGGAAGTAGATCCTGGACAGAGTTTAGTCCTAAAACCCGATTGTCTGATTGAGGTTTGCCCCCGGATAATACCTTTGACAACACACTCATGTATGGCAAAAGTCGGTATTTATCCTCGATGCGGTTAAACTGTTGTTGCAGATACGGGGAATGATATTCATCTTCGAGACAAACGAAACACGCGTCAAGGAATACCTGAATAGCATCGAGAAGGTTGATCGAGATGGGTAAATCCCAGATCGATTTTACGAGCTTCTTCTTGTACTGATCAAGAAGGTGTCTGTTTTTATAGGTAGCCTTGGTAATTATTATTATTACCCATGCCATTTTCTCGTACTAATGTTTTTGTTTGTAGCTTGTTTTTTTTTTACCTAAGTACCTTGCCGCAGGGCAGGAACCATCGTTCAGACCGAACTAGGGTGTCTTCTTACATCTATGGTTGACGACGTGTATGAGGAACACACGGTTTTTAGAACCGCGCCAATGTTTCCGTTAGCAACGGAGCGGACCCCGGGATATGAGTATCTCGAGGATGAGGGCATCACACATACCTGAGATTCGGGTAGACTGGAGTCTCTCGAGGAGGTGGTACGGACTTACTCTGCCAGGTTCGGGCCCGAACCTGACAAGTATTTCCGCGGCGGATGGTCGGCGAGGGAGAGTTGCAGCGATTGGCTCTCTCGTTATAGTCGATGGCGTCGGTTGTGGCCGATGTCTGGTGAGCTCCGGTATTGAGAGGTGACATCAATGCCGGAGTCGGGTGACACGCCTAGCATCGAGAGGTGACATCGATGCTAGGATGAAGTGATGTGTTCGGGCGGAGAAAATAAAAAGATACTTATGCCGGATTCCGAGTTATTGCAGAGTAGATGGATTCTGAGGAGAGAGGTGGTTGTGCTATGCACACGGGGAGTACATTACCTACGCATGGTGCGCGTAGAGACGATTTGACGGAATCTGTCCCGCGACTTGTCGTACGGACTTGATTGTGATTGCTGCATGCTTACAGTTTTTTCTCTGTTTTCAATTCCTGTTTATTAGAATGCTAGTATATATATATATACACATATATGTATCTGCTTTCCCTGGCACCATGAGAATGGACCTCCGGGTTACGCTCGAGTTCACTCTCTAAGCAATTAGCTTAGGACGTTGTTACGCAACATTTCAGGTCGCGAGTAGCAGTAGCCGCGGAGCGGACATCGGAGACCTGGGCAGTGCACATCCACCGATCATGTATAATTACGTATTGTGATATTTTTTCATATTTTGGGGAACGTTTTGTTGTTATCGGTGGTAGACTTAATGTTTGTAATAATTTTATCACTACCACTTGATTTTGTATAATTATAACTGGAAATAATGTATCATATGGATATTTACGAGTGTTTTATTCCGCTGACTCTGAAAAGAAAAGTTTTAAATTCCCGCAGATTTTTGAAAAATGTGATTTTATTTTACTTGTCCATGTGACGGAACTCGTATTGCGGGATATGGGTTTCGGGCGTTACATCGTTGGTATCAGAGCAGTTCCTTCCACGGGGAAAGGATGTGCTCGTGTTTTCACTGGGATTTGGAAATGGGTAAAAAAAATTATTTTTAACGATTTTATAAAAATCCAAGCATGATCACCAGGTCCCGATACTAAATAAAGTTTTCTTATCCGCAGTAGCTATGCCTCCACGACGTGCTGCACCTGCTCAACGACCTCAAGGACCGAGGGCACCTCCGCCGAATAACGACATGGCGGAAATGCAACGGCAATTCGCCTTTTTCCAAGGGAATGTCTGGCAGTTCATACGAGGTTGCATGCAACCGCAACCAGGTTGCATGCAACCGCAACCACCCCCGCCCCCGCCCCCGCCTGCTGCTCCACCGGCGGCAAGGCCGGAAGGAGGTTTGCCACCACCACCACCGATGCCTGCACCTCAAGGGATGCCACGGCAAGTTGTAGTGGACTACTTGCCATTCGTCAAGGAACTACGAGCCTTGGGCACTCCGGAGTTTGAGGGTTCTCTCAGCCCAGAGGCAGCAGAGGATTGGATGATCAAGATCACCCACCACTTCAACTACATCAGGTGCCCGCTGTGGTACCGCACGGAGTTAGCGAGCCATCATCTGGCTGGCGCAGCTCGCCATTGGTGGGAGGAAGTTGTACGTGAAGCTCAAGGAGGACACCAATTCTCGTGGGAAGAGTTTCGGGCAGAGTTCGAGCAGAAGTACTACCGGAGGCAAGATCAGAGTCACCGTATCACAGAATTCCTTCGTCTCGAATAGGGAAACATGACTATTCGAGAGTACGAAAGCGGAATTCAACCGGCTGCTGAAGTATGGAGGCCACCTAGTGCCAACCGAGGAGTATAAGATCCAGAAATTCATTGTTGGATTACGTGCTTCTCTCAGGAGAATGATCGAATGCCATGAGTACCCTACGTTGAGTCGGTACATCAACCAACTCGACAAGGTGGAACGCAGTGAGAAGGAGAGGTTGGAAGCCAAGAGACAATATCGTGGTCCCTACAGGAGAGTGACAGTCAACCGTCCCCCGATGAGAGTTGGACAGACGAGTCAACCCTGTGACAAGGGGAAGGCTCCGGCGTATCGCCCCACGACCCCGACTCAGTCAATACAGTATAAGAGGCCATGTGCTAAGTGTGGTCGAGACCATACTGGACCCTGTGGAAACACCATTGCGTGCTACCGTTGCGGTCAACCAGGGCATTTTGCTGCGAGATGCACTGCGAACATAGCTCCTCAGACCAACAACAAGCCACCGCGTCCAGCACAGGGGAGATCGGGTGTTGCTCCTTGAGTTTATGCTCTCAGTACTGAGGATGATGTCCAAGAGGAGCCATACACTGTGGAGGAGCCATTGGCTGCAGAACCATTGACCACCTACGAGGCCACTAAAGAAGAGTATCTGGAGGAGGCTGATGTTACCGCTATCACAGGTATCATTTGCATACACGATGTTGCATGCGTCACCTTGTTTGACACAGGAGCTACACATAGCTTCTTGAGTGAGAAAAAGGCAGGAGAGTTGTCAATCATGGAGATCGATACAACTACACCTTTTATGGTGTGTACACCTGCAGGACAGACTCTTCCAGTACAGGGGATTTTGCATTGCATGCCCTTGACTATCTGTGGGAGGATGTTGACTGTAGATCTTATCGTCGTACCTCTCCGGGGTTACGACTTAATATTGGGAATGGATTGGTTATCGAAGCATCAAGCCTAGATTGATTGTCTTCAGCGAACTATTTGGTTCACGGAGGAGAGCGGAGGATTCGAGTTCGTTGGGAACAGATCACGGAAGGTGTATCCCATTATATCAGCCCTGAAGGCTAACAAGATGATCGAGAAAGGGAATGAAGCCTTCCTGGTTGTAATCACAGCAACCGAAGTAGCAGAGGCAAAGATGGAAGATACTGTTGTGGCTCGGGAATTTCCCGATGTGTTTCCTGATGAACTATCAGGACTACCACCGGAACGGGAGGTAGACTTCTCCATTGAGGTTCTGCCAGGAACGGAGCCAATATCAAAAACCCCCTATCGGATGGGTCCGACAGAGATGGCAGAACTGAAGAATCAGTTGAACGAACTAATGGAGACAGGATTCATCCGACCGAGTGTATCACCGTGGGGAGCACCGGTATTATTTGTGAAGAAGAAAGATGGTAGTATGCGACTCTGCATTGACTACCGAGGCCTGAACCAAGTGACCATCAAGAATCGGTACCCCTTGCCGAGAATCGATGAGTTGCTTGACCAGTTGCAAGGAGCGAAGTGGTTTTCTAAGATCGACCTACGTTCTGGGTATTATCAGATCCGTGTAAAGGCTGAGGATATTCAGAAGACTGTCTTACGAACGAGGTACGGTCACTTCGAATTCGTGGTCATACCATTTGGGTTGACGAATGCCCCAGCCGTCTTCATGCAATTAATGCACCGGGTGTTCATGGATTATCTCGATGAGTTCGTCATAATCTTCATTGATAATCTCTTGATATATTCACCGGACCAACAGACGCATGAAGAACACTTGCGAAAAATCTTATGGCGATTGAGAGATAATCAACTATACGCTAAATTCAGCAAGTGTGGATTTTGGTTGCAAGAAATCTGATTCCTTGGTGACGTCGTTTCGGCACAAGGTATCCAGGTTGATCCAGCAAAGATTGAGGCAGTAATGGATTGGAAGACACCCACCAATGCAACTGAAATTCGAAGTTTCTTGGGCTTAGCAGGTTATTACCGTCGTTTCGTTGAAGGATTTGCTAAACTAGCGAAACCAATGACGAAGTTGACGGGAAAGAATGTACGCTTCGAATGGACGAAGGATTGCGAAAGGAGTTTCTTGGAACTCAAGAAGAGGTTGACAACTGCACCTATTTTGGCGTTACCTCGCCTAGGAGTTCCGTATGACGTATACACGGATGCATCGAGGCAAGGATTGGGTTGTGTGTTAATGCAAGAAGAACATGTGATAGCATATGCATCCAGACAGTTGAAAAGACATGAGGAGAACTATCCGACTCATGATCTGGAACTAGCCGCGATAATCCACGCTCTGAAAATTTGGAGATCTTATCTTTATGGCGAGAAGGTTAAACTCAACACCGATCACAAGAGTTTAACCCATGTCATCTCGCAGAAAGATTTGAACCTCCGAAAAAGACGTTGGCTAGAACTAATGGCTGATTATGACCTAGAAATTGCTTACCATCCGGGTAAAGCAAATGTTGTAGCCGATGCATTAAGTCGGAAGAAGATACTGTCTGCTATCAGAGTACTGTCCTCATCACAGGAGAACATAGCAGAGTTGTCAGCTATATTGGGTCATTTGACAGTGGCAAGGGATGAACAGTTTCCAGATCTTAGAGCACGAGTAATTTCAGAGCAGCACAATGATCCAGAACTCATGAAGTACATACAAGAGATTGAGCGATATCGAGAGAAAGGATATCAGTTGGATGATGTACAAGCCTTGAGACTGTATAACCGGCTTTGTGTACCGGATAACGGCGAGATAAGACGGAAAATCTTGCAAGAAGCTCATCAGTCCAGACTGGCGATTCATCCGGGAGCTAGAAAGATGTATCGAGGCTTGCGACAATGGTATACTTGGTCTGGCATTAAGAAAGACGTTGCAGATTTTGTTGCACGATGTCTGACGTGCCAACAAGTGAAGGCTGAACGACAACTGCCCGGAGGAAAGTTGCAACCATTAGAGATTCCGGAGTGGAAGTGGGACTCTATAGCAATGGATTTCGTGGTTGGATTGCCAACAACTCCGACAAAGAAGAATGCAATTTGGGTGGTTGTAGACCGATTAACTAAATCGGCCCATTTCATACCGATCCGACAAGAGTACACAGTTGAGAGATTGGCACAGATCTATATAGATGAGATTGTCCGATTACACGAAGTGCCGAGTGAGATCA